ATCCTCTCCTGCACTAAGACCACCACTCAGCTCTCTGTGCTCTGGAGGCCCAGGGAGCACTTGGAACCTCAGCCTCCGCTCTAAGTCCTTGCATACTGGAAGCTGGAGGAGCAGCCAGGGAACAAGCAGTCCTCAGGCTGAGGGACATGAGTGTCTGCAAACCAAGAGCTTGGTCCAACTCCTCCGACAAGGTGCATTCGTCCAGCATGGTCTGAGTACCTGCTTAGGGCCAGGCTTTGGGAGAGGAAGGAGTCAGACCTGGTCTTTGCCCTCAAGAAACTCATAGTCTCTCTAGGAGTTGGAGGTAGGAACTAAGACACAGACACAACTGACACAAGGTAGAGGTCAGGGCTCCTGCCTCATCTGTCACTCATGAACTTGGTAACTATTTCACTTTTCTTTATTACCATCAGCTGACAGGACTAGTTTGTGAGCCTCTGTCCACAAGGAATTAACAGTCTACCAGGTGTTCAGAGCTTAGATACCTAGGTGCCAGGTGTTCAGGAGTGGCAGTGTACTGTAGGAGAGATTCCAAGGTACAAGGTCACTGGCTTTCAGTCAGGTTCTTCCACCAATTTACTTGGAAACTTCAGAAAAATATTTTTTTAAATTGCTGGTCTCATGTTTTTCATCTGAACAACAAACAAGAAAATTAATAGATGGATGGATGAACTAATGAATAAGAGAATGAATGGAAGGATAGATAGCTATTCGGAGAGGAGAAATGGACTGCTGGATGGAATGTATGGATGAAAAGATGGATAGACAAAAGGATGAATGAATGGATGGATGGATGGGATCTTCTAGAGGCAGAGTCCAACTTGCTATCCCCAGAATCACCTTTATATTCCCAAGCCCAGAATGGTCTAAAACATAGTAAGAGCCCAATGAAAGTGAATGAATGAGTAAGTGGATGGATAAATTGTTGTTGTTGTTGTTAGGTGTCATTGGCTCCGACTCATGGTGACCTTGTGTACAACAGAACAAAACACTGCCCAGGCTTGCACCAGCCTCCATCCTTGCTGTACCTGAGCCCATCATTGCAACCACTGTCTCAATCCATCCTGTTGAGGCCTTTCCCCTTTCTCGCTGACCCTCCACCTTACCAAGCATGATATCCTCCTCCAGAGAATGGTCCCTTCTGACAACATGACCAAAGTAGGTGAGACCAAGTCTGGCCATTCTCACTTCCAAGGAACATTCCAGCTGCACTTCTTCCAGGGCAGATAAGTTAGTTCTTCGGGAAGTCCACAGTACTTTCAGCATTCTTTGCCAACACCACAACTCAAAAGCGTCAACTCTTCTTGGGTCTTCCTTATTCATTGTCCAGCTCTCACATGCATATGAGGTGACTGAAAATACCATGGCTTGGGTTAGGTGCACCTTAGTCTTCAAAGTCTTCAAAGAGACATCTTTGCTCCTCAGCACTTCAAAGAGATCTTTTGTAGCAGATCTGCCCGGTGCAATAAATTGTCTGATTTCTTGACTGCTGCTTCTATGGTGTTGATTGCTGAACCAAGTAATATGAAATCTTTGACAACATCAATCTCTTCTCCATTTATTGT